TCTCCAGGCAAGAACACTGGAGTGGGTTGCCATTTCCTTCTCCAATGAAGGAAAGTGAAAAGTGAAAGTGAAGTCGCTCAGTCGTGTCCAACTCTTTGAGACCCCATGGACTGCAGCCCACCAGGCTCCTCCATCCATGGGACTTTCCAGGCAAGAGTACTGGAGTGGGGTGCCGTTGCCTTCTCCAAACATTGCTCTACCACCTACTAAAAAAACAGAAATTGTAAAAGCTCTCCTTATTTTTGCTCTGATTGTAATGAGAAGGTATCTATTCAGATGGTAAAGAATCAACCCACAATGCAGGAGACCCAGATTTGATCCCCGGGTTGGGGAGATCCCCTGGAGTAAGGAAATGGCAACTTACTCCAGTATTCTTGCCTGGAGAATTCCACGGACAGAGGAGCCTAGTGGACTATAGTCCATGGGACTGCAAAGAGTCAGACACAACTGAGTGACTAAGACTTTATGATGCTTAATAGAAGTTTTTGACAGCTATCCTGTATCAGTTAAAGCAGAAATCTCAATGTAAATATTAATTAACTATGGAAAAATGAAAGTCTAGAGAAGTTGGGTCTGCCACAAGATGACCCAGCTTGTAAGTAAGTGACAGATTAAGCACAAATGTCCATGTCTGTGCTGTCTCAATGCTGACCACCATCACAAGGAAAGACAGACTAATAAAAAATTATTCACACCTAGCATGAGGGTCTAGCCATTAATACATATCTGTTGAATGAACAACTGAATGAATGTTATTGTGCTTTCTTTCATATAACCGTGCATTTCTGCACAGCTGAATGAACATTAAGTGTTAGATCCTTGAATATTTGTGAGCCACATGACTCAGTGTGCAAGAAGAAACTCTATTTTAAGGTACTCTGCACTAAATCCTGTCACAAAGAGGGAAAAAAATAGCCTGCTTCATGAAAATGTACTCCTTAATAGATTTTAATCAACAAGTGTTGATTGGGCGCAGCTGTGTGCCTATAACTGTCTATAGTTCTGATAAGGATTCAGGAGACATACGACAGAGGTTCTCACAGTTAACATACATCAGAATCACCTGGAGAGCTTAGCCATTAAACCACGTTGCTCATCCAGTAGGTCTGGGGTGTGGGCCAAAATTTAGCATCTCCAATAAGGGCCAGGATAATGTTGGAGCTGGAGGAGAAGAGCTTTGTCTATCCGTCCCTCCCCCAAAAGGTCAAAGATAAGCCTGTAGGAGCCAGGATTCCTACAGGATTCTACAGAATTCTACAGATTCTACAGAATCTGCAGGATTCCTGTACTCAGAACTTTTGTCCTGGATGTTTTCACTCTGGTGACTGGAGATGGGAAAGGCGAGAAAAAGGAAAATTACTCATGAATATTTCATATGGTGCCTTGGCTGACTTTTTAGTCCCCTGAACACCCATTAAAGTGCCACTGTAATAATGTCATTGTTTGCTTGTCATTTTCTACCTGACTCTTAGGGAGGAAAAAAACAGAAATAATAATTCCTGGCTCTGATTGGGAGGTCGCAGGAAATCATCTACCACTTATACTAAGACTTTTGAAGATCAAAGGGATAAACAATCACATTTTCATTTATGTGGCATCATTCAAGGAGGTAGAATTTCATAGATGTACTTTTTTTTTCAGATAAATGAAGCTTATCCTTAAGCATTAGATTTGTTTTTGAATTTTAACCATTTCAAATGCAAATAATTTCAGAATGGTACCTATTTCCCTGTTTTCTCAGACAAAATACATGAAGCAAAAGGTACTTCAGAATCCTCATGGTAAACAGCTTGTATTTTCACTCTGCTCTAATACATGATGTCCCAGCTTACTATCACGCTTAGGGCTGCTTGCCCCCAAAATGACTGCTTCACACTGATGGGTTCTGTTTGCCTCCAGTGTCAATTCCCCACCCTGCTCGCTTCCCAGATAATTCATTGCTCTAAATTCGCTAGGACATGGTAAACTTAACAACTAACATTATTATAATAGTATGTAAAAAGAGTGTTAATAGGCTCCAAGCAAAGGCCAAAGGCAGTGTTGGCTATGTAAGTTGTATGACCTTGAGCCATCTTGCCTTGACATCTATGAACCATGATTATTTATTTATTGCTTCCTGATGCAGCCTGGAGAGTAGGGTTTGCCTGAGAAGCAATCCTTAGATAAATGTGTTACTGTTTAGAGATTTTTTTTTATTAGTATGTGTACATACAGGTGTTTAGTTATTCCTTCAGCATGTGTGTGTGTGTGTGTATATATATGTGTGTGTGTGTGTGTGTGGATGTGTGTGTGTATATATATACAGCACTGACTGTGTGCTAGGTATGCTTTTGACAAAGGTACAGAATCCTCTCCACATGAGCTCAGTCTAGTAAGGAGTCGACCCCTTCTTGTCAACCCCACCCACACTCTCCTGCTCAGCAGCCATTCTCCAACGCCTGCAGCTTGAACACCCCAGGACTGTCCCCTCCTGTGGGTCCCCAGACTTTGCTCTTTCCTCCCCTGGGATTCTCTTCCCACAGATTTTTACAAAGCTGACTCCTCCTGTGCTCACAGGTCTCACTCAGCAATCCCTCTATCTGAGAGGCCTCCCTGACGGCCCCATCTCTGGCTGCCTCTCGCCCCCTTCTAGTACATTAATGCATTTTATCTTCTTCACAATGAAGATGCAAACAACCGTGTCTTTGGCATCACAAAGTCAATGGACACGAACTTAAGCAAACTCCAGGAGATGGTGAAGGACTGGGAAACCAGCCATACTGCAGACCATGGGCCACAACTTAGCAACTTGGGGACATGGGGTCACGACTTAGTGAATAAACAACAAAAACAACCTTCTTCATAGAACCCTCCATGATCTGACAAGATCCCATCCACTAACATCCTGTGTCTCTATCTGTCCCACTTCCGTACAAGCGTCCTGAGCACAAGGGCCTCCATGGTGTCAGCCAGCAGCCCAGCCTCCCCAGGATAGCACCAGGCCCTCTGCGGAGCACCTGGTGACCCAGCAAAGCAGCACAAATGGTTAAACGACAGCAGGATAAGTTCTGGAAAAGGAGGGCAGAGAATACCCACCCAAGCCTGGAAGGAGGAAAAGACAATTCAAGGAGGTGATATCTGAGTTAGACTGAGGGTATTCCAGACCAAAGGACACATGCAATAAATGGATAACCAGCAAAGACCTACCGTATAGCACTGGGAACTCTGCTCAATGTTATGTGGCAGCCGGGATGGGAGGGAGTTTGGGAGAGAATGGATACAAGATCATGTTTGGCTGAGTCCCTTTGCTGTTCAACTGAAACTATCACGTTGTTAATCAGCTATACCCCAATACACAATAAAAAGTTTTTTTTTTTAAAAAAAAAAAAGAACATATGTAATAAATGTGCTAAAAATATATATTCAGATAACCCCTCCAGGCTAATGATTTAAATATTGCCCCCAAATCCTCCACACTGCTGGATGGGCAATAAGGAAGATGAAGCCCCTCCACCACCATCTCCCTCCAAGTGATGCATTCCCCTCTCAAAGTGGAGCGAGCACACACACATCTGCACGTGGAGCCTGGATTAGTCAGCTCAGGCTGCCAGAACAAAGTCCCACAGACTGTGTGGTTACACAATAGAAATATATCGTCTCACGGTTCCAGAGGCTAGAAGACCAAGATCAAGGTATGGACAAGACTGATTCCACCTGAGGGCTGGGAGGGAGAACCTGTCCCATGCCTCTCCCCTCACTTCTGGTGGTTTGCTGGCAACCTTGGTTGTTCCCTAGCTTCCTCATTCTGATCTCTGCATTCATTTTCACATGGAGTTCTCTCTATGTCCAAAGCTGTCTTTCAATAAGGACACCAGTCCTCCTGGGTTAGGGGCCCACCCTCCTCCAGTATGACCTTACATTAACTAATCACATTGGCAATGACCCTATTTCCAAATAAGGTCACATTCTAATGTGCTGGGGATTCAGACTTCAACATATATATATTTCAGGAGGATACAATTCAATCCACAGCAGAACCTCAGATTGGAAACCAGCTTCCCCAGCAGGGTCTGCTTCTGTAGGATGAAGACGTGTCTGGGGTCCAACCGGGGACCCTATGGAGACATATTAGCCTTGTCAGGCCACTAAGAGTGTGAGAAAGAGTGTGTGTGTGCGCGCACATGTGCACACACACATGCTCAGTCATGTCCAACTCTTTGTGACCCTAAGGTCGTTAGCCCACCAGGCTTCTCTGTCCATGGGATTTTCCAGGCAAGAATACTGGAGTGAATGGCCATTTCCTCTTTCAGGGCATCTTCCCAATCAAGAGATCGAACTCACGTCTCTTGTGTCTCCTGCAGATTCTGTACCACCAAGGCCACTCAGTGGGGAGCACAAAACCCACAGGCCCCTGGCTTTGAGGAGCCGCCTGGAAGAAGATCTGGAGGACAGATGTGTGCTCTGTTCACACCCACAGTCCCCTGAGTACCAGGTAGCTTCTCTTAACAGCCTGAAAGCCCCTTGAGGTCTGAGCTGTCATTTTAAAGTGATGAGGTCCAGAACACTCAGGAGATGAGAGATCCCAGAGCCTGGACCTTGGACACAGGCTGTACAGATGAGGAAAGAGACACCTTCCTCATCTGCGAAGTGAAAGGCTGGACCCTTCTTGCTGTCTTGGTCAATGGTCTCAGGCTGTAGTGTACTTTATACCTGGCAGCCCTTGATGAACATTTATCAAAGACCTGAATGACAGAAGGAATAAATGAATGAGTCCAGAGTCAAGACGATAAGGATAAGATGCAAGAACACTCACAGTGGTTAACCTCAATCAAAAAAAAAAAAAGGATCAGAAACAAATCTTAGGTAAAGATCATTGCCCTCTGGAAGTAGTTAAAAATCAAATAATATCGTAGCCACTGCAACAGAGGAGTGCAATCACACCCAGGGTCTAATTAGACTTCTGAATACAAATGCACATAGGTCTAGCCAGAATTTTCTTTGCCTCAAAACACAGATCTCAGACCTTTTCTCCCCAACCAGGATCCATCTGTTGCAGGAGCTTAGTCTCAGTCCATTCGTTAGTGCTGAGGTTCCCAAACAAGCTAGCCCAAGAAGCAATTATATTATTTCTGGGGCCGAGAATTCTCCTGTTTCCACATCCCAGCCTAATGTGAGTTCTTCCCGCAAAGGACTGAGAAGGTACAGCCAAGAATACAATCAAAGAGAAGGACAACCTGTAATCTTAACTTTCCCTTTGTACTTCAGACAACCACGATCAGCATCAAGGCAGCAGGAAAAAAAACAACTGCCAGTGCAGAGAGCAGGCAGACACCTGTGTGCAGAGACCGCGCCCACAGAAAATGAAAGTGCCTCCCTTTAATGCCAGAGTTTAAGAGGAGAAATCTCTTCAGAGATGAGAAACTCGAAAGAAAAAAGGAAAAGAGGAAGAAATGGAGACAGAGTTCACGCGTCCCGCCAAACTGAATTTCAAACCACCACCACAAAGCAAGAGCCAGCTCAGAAAAAGCAAGAGGGAAATCGATTCTCCTGACAATGAGCTGCAGCCCTCCAAACACACAGGAATACAGACACATAGGCGGTGCAGCCAGAGCCGAAGTGCAAACAAGAGGTGCAATCTCTAAGAGCAAAACCAGCCGAGAAAGTAGGCCCCGGAAGCCAGCTCCGTTGTTGCACCTGCCTGGTGTCTGAAGGACAAGCATGCCCAGTCCTGCCTCAGAAAGCTTTGCAAATGAGATGCAAAGCAGCATGCAGTGGGACTCTGCAGGTCCAGAGGATGAGAGCTAATGACAATTATTGAGTTTTAATAACTGGGTAATTGCTGACCAGACCAGCAGAGGCCAAAAGGCCAATGCCTTTGCTTTGCCAAGAAAACCAAGGGTTAGGTGTTAACTGCATACAATTAAGTATGTCACTCCCCTGGTTACTTGTAATTGGGTTCTGCTGCCACGTGAGGCGGGGACAAACCATCTGGGCCTCTGGCAGACCCCCCTGGACAGAGCAGGCACAAACTTTTGTGAACTGTCATTGGGCTCCAGCACCTCACCTTGGACAACAGCAGCTGTTCAGTGCTGGAGTGAGAGAGAGGTGTGAAGGTTTAAGAGTTGTTCTTGAATGTGGATTCAGACCTTCCAGCGTTAGAAGCTAAGATACTATCTCAGGAGGGATCCTGAAAGCAGGTGGAACTGTTAGGAGCTCAAGTCCTGAGCACTGAGTTCCAGAGATCACTAGTCTGAAAGTCAGGAAGGTTTCCCCAGGCACCAGCATAGGACATGAACATCCTGGCTCAGCCAATGCACCGCCAGCCACTTGGGGAACTGAGGTGCTTAAGCTCCGGAGGGATCTGTCTTGAAAGTATCACTCTGCCCACTCTCAGAGGGTTGGTACCAGGTGAGGTCCACTCTGACTCACAGCATGCTCCATTCTGCCTGCTCACCGCAGCCTCCAACTCTTCACTGGCGCTCTCCACTCTTGGAAGGCTTCCTCCTATCCCAGTCAAACCCCTCCTGGTACCTTCTAAGTTCCATCTTAGTCCCCCTGCTTATCCACCAGGAAACCCCGTTTATGAAGAAGATGCTGAACAAGCATCATCTGCCCTTCACAGTGAGTTACCCGCTGAACTCTTTGAGCCCTCAGTCAATTCCAAGCCCAAAGGGTATTTAGAAGCATCCAGTCCAACTTTATAGATAAAAATAAACTAAAGCCTTGTATATCAACTATATCTCAATCAAAAAAGAAAAACAAAATTAAAACAATTAAATAAACCAACCAAACCCCCAGCAGGTAACCTAGCTAATCTAGACATCCTTTTGTTAATTTTGTATTCATGTATGGGAATCTCATGGGTCTAATATGCTATTATATTTCTTAAAGACAGAGCTCTTACATTATCCTATACATTAGTCTTTTATATAACCACATAGTATTTAACATAAGAATACATGGAAGTAGATCCTTAATAAATGCCTGCCGACCATTGGTCCTTTTTCTCTGTGGTCCACTGATGACCTAACATAGTAAGTGTACTATGGGGTTCAGGGTGACCTTGGCTTCCTCTAACCCACTGATGAGGAGCTACATAACAACCTAATTAAGTTCATAGAAGAGCAAACCACTTTGGCTGTTGTCCTAAAGGCAGCAGGCAACAAGACAGGGAAGAGAGATTGGTTCTTCACCTTCATCCAGAGAGATCTCTACTCAGTCCCCACACACTATGAGGGTGCATGTTATTTGCCAGCTTTGTGTAAGTAACAGTACTTGAAAGTCAAAAAAGACAGCCCTTGCTCTTGACTTTCAATCTAAGGGGGAAGACAGACAGGAATACAGATCAGTATGACTCCATGTGACAAAGTGAGATGACAGAGAAAAGGCAAAGGAGTATCATTCTAGATTCTTAAATGAAACTCCATATGTCTCTCAGCTCAGCAATATGTTCCCTGTGAACACAGGTTGAATGGCTTGACTATCTGCCAAAGTCCCCAGCACACCTCTGCTTCTAGGTTTTCTTCCATCCCGCCCTCCTCACCCCAAATGTCCGCACTTGCCCTGTAAATGTAATACATCTCAGAAACCCAAGCTTCAAATTGAATCCTAAACCCTTAGGATTAGCCTTTTCATCCAGGCTCTCCTTAAATACCTTACCACTTCCTTTCTGCAGCACTTATTTTGTCTCTATAGTATTTCCTGTCCAATTCTTATGTCCTTACTTAACTCTCATGCAATCTTATTATTGATCTAAATTTTCAAAAGCCCTTAACAGTAGGTCTCAAGTTCTCTTCTGGAGAAAATTCACATATAGGCAACTCTCAGATACACAGCCAGAGATCATCATATCTCCTTGCAGAATAAAGGCACAAGCGAATGAATGTGTCATATAACTAGTCAGGTTTCAACTGTTTGTCAAGAATTCCAAATAAATTTTTTCCTCTTGCTGCCTTCTCACCTCCCTATTATAACACAAGGAGGCATGATACTCTTTTGGGTCAACCAGAATGAGTTCACCTGGAATGCATTAGCCACAGATCTCTGCTAAGATCAGCCAGATTATTTCAATAGCACCTCTTCTAATTTAATTTCTCCTTTGGCAACCCCCTCCATCCTGCTCTGACTCCATCTGGATTTTTTTAGTGCTTGGGGAAAAGGAGAAAACGAGTAAATGAGCTGGCAGGAAAAGAGTATAATTCAGTGGTTCAAATTGCCATCCTCTAATGACTGGAGTAAATCTTTATTGATGCTAATAAATAAGATGGCAGTACATGGGCATGGAGATCAGGGTCCAGCCTGGTGGGGCCCCAGCAGAGACTGATTTCTGTAATCAGTTTTCATTCCTCTCTGAATATCCCAGGTTACAAGTGATCTGGATGGGAACCATTTCCTGGCTAAATTTCCATGTACAGAAACAAGGCCATGAGCCCAAACACTGGTCTCACCACCAAGCCCAAGGAAGCTTATCTATCTTACGATGTCTCCCTTGACTTCTCCCTTCACAGCACCTAAAACCAGAAATGCCACAGGAAAAGAGTTTCACCCCACTATTTTGAACTCTATCTCTAAAATATGCTGATAGGTATAAGACAGAAAAAGTCCTTCTCTCTACATCTGGGGGGGGTCTCCCATCTCTGAGATCTAGTGCTTGATGATCTGAAGTGGAGCTGATGTATTAACAACAGAAATAAAGTGCACATTAAACGCAACATGCTTGAATCACCCTGAAGCCATCCCCACCATCCCAAGTCCACAGAAAAATTTGTCTTCCATGAAATGATCCTTGGTGCCAAAAAGGTTGGGGACCGCTGCTCTACAGGGTTACATCCAAGGCAGGCGATGATGCTCAGGAGACCCAAACCTGGCCACACACTCAAATCACCTGGAGAGCTAGCTAACAACAGCTGTATAGATTCTGACTCAGTGGATCTTGGGTGGAGCCTGACAATCTGAAGTTTAACAAGAGCCCCCAGATGATTCTAAAGTAACCAACCTATTAGACAGACTGGTAAACAAATGGAAACACTGTGTAAGGTGCTTTTGAGTCAGGCAGGTCGAGGCTGAAGTCCCACCTCTACTACATATTGCAAAGTGGGGCAGAAGTTAATTAACTTCTGGGTAAGACAAGCTTCTTCAGAAAGCTGCTGTAGGGTTTTAAGCACCAAACACTCCCAAACCTAGCAGTGTAGAGCCGGACCTGTGGCAGAATTTTTGTAAACAGAAACTGCCCACAAAGAGAGTCAGACAGTCTGGCCAGTCCAAATGTCACGAAATCATATTAGGTCTATCAAATAAAAGCTCTGTATTAGGATGTAAGTATGATTTAATCATTTCACATATGTAAATTCTCAATGAGAATAAAGTGCAGTTGGGGTTTTTGAAAATGTAGTCACCATAATGATAGTACAGAATTCCACGGCTACAGCCTTGGACTTTTAGGCCATTCATCTCTGAAGAATGTCATGATGATGCAGCCTTATTCATAAATGGGACCATAACATAAACTCCAAGGACAATGTCATACTTGAAAATAAGATTGTGTAAGAAAGTCCTTCAAAATGTCAAGTACAGAGCAATAAAAGTATCTCTAAAAGCCACATTTAGAGGGAACTGAGGGGATAAAGACCAAAAGATCAACAAAGTTGCATGTTACAATGGTTCTTATACTTGTATTATCAAGGTTAATCATCTGTACAGTATTAGGAAATGGGTTCTTCACTAAAGCTAAGTATTACTATCAGCAAACACTTGCATTCTTTCTGTTCTTGCTTTTTACATACATTCAGTATTCAGGTATCTTTCAGAATTTGGCCTTAAAGGAAAGGTGTGAAAGACTTCAGCATTTAATTTTTCCTCTTGACATAACTCAACCCAGTCACTCTACATGAATGTAGATCACTTATTTCTTGGCAAGAAAAGTTGCTGGTAAATATCATTTAACCTTTCTCAAACAGTGAAGGTGGCCCTGGTTCCATCCATCAAATAGATTCCTCACTCTTAATTTAAAATATTAGAAGGTGCCCTAAACCTTTTTCTGTGGGAGAGACCCAAGCAAATTGTATTTGGATAGATTCCCCATGGTTGTCTATAGTCCATGCCAGATTCTGAAAAGATACCTAGCAAGGTACAGCATTTAATTAAAGGAAGGTCAGGCAATGGAGTGGACACACTCCTGCTTCAGCATTTAATTGCTAGAAAGAATTTAATAAACTATTTTTGGAGTCAAACTCCCTGTTTCCATGAAGGTTTAAAGAAAAAAACCCTCATTGAATCCCACCAGCAAAATCTTTCCAAGGTTGTTTAATAATCAAAGACAAACAGCTGTCTATAGGCA